GAAATGAAATTTCACCTGTGAGTAGCATAAAAAGAAAATAAATTTTCGATTTGCAACACAAAATGTTTTTTATTCTTTTCATCCGCTGAGCTAACATGTGTGTCTTTCTATTCTTAAACAATTATTAGTTATCAGAAATTAACGACTTATACCTGAACACGATACCGTATTTCAGTGCGTGATGCAGATTTAATTTTCTTTAATCGTAAAACACCTCCATCATCAGCTTCAACTGATATTTTGCTAGCAGCAGATGTGGATGATTGTATAACTAGATCAGCCTCCAGCGCATTCACATTGTTTAAGCGTATTTCACGTTGCACGATTTCAAAACGTGAATAGAAAGTAACTATTACACTTGCAACTTCTACCTGAAATATTCTTTGGAGCTCTTTACTTATTTTGAATTATTCTTCAACCCTCATTGTCAATAAATCAATCCACCTACCCTCCATTCTACTGTAATTGATTTCAAAACTAAAAAGGGAGTAGCATGCGATTAAAAAAAAAAAGCTGAATCGTGGAAACCTTGCCAGCACGATTCCAGATAGCAGAAACATTTAAATCAAGATTTTGGTAGTCGACCAAAGAAACTGGTCCCTCGAATGTCTGTTCCATCAGGATACAGCCATATTTACCTGAAAAATGCCAAAATTTCATCAACTCTACTTAATAGATCTTTCAGTATTGTTTGCTTATTAATGCATGGATGGATAAATTGCTGCAGACTCTTGATGTGTAAGCACCTTTATAATTTCTGCAAATCAAAAAATTACCTGCTAACAAATTTGCTTCAATAAAAAACCTGTAAGATTCATGATGCTACAGAATGCTTTATCCATTAACATTGAAAAACACGCAGTATTTTCTAGTAATGTTGTATGTCACGCATAACGCACGGAACGCCACAAAAAAAGAGAATGAAGTGTTTACCTAGTTTAGGAAGAAATGCTGAACGAGCAACAAATAAGCTTGTTGCCAACACATTTACTTTTTCCATGAAACTGGCAGTACAATCAAAAGGTGCATCCAAGATCAATGTCTCCAGTAGCGCGGGCGCGCAATCTGAATCTCGTGAAATCGTTAATAGTTTGCTAGCAAAGGTTAAACTTATGAAAAAGGTTAAAAAACTTTTTTAGGAAAATCTTAGCTCAATTGAAAATTTTCAGTGTACTTCTAAAATATATATATGTGATGCTTGAACATATCAGTCAACTGAAAAACAACATACATATAAGGCTGCAGAACAATCTGCGTTACGTTATTGGATTTATAAATTGGCCTATGCAAACTATAATATCTTAGCAAAATCTTAGCTTAATTGAAAAGTTTCAGTGTACTTCTAGAATATATATTACAGGATATTACAAAGTGGAAAGAAATATAGTATCATGAAATTCTTTGCTTTTCCGTCAAGTAAAATTGAGATTGATTATAACAAATAATTAG